CTCCTGTTACTTTGTTTTCAAAGATTGCCTCATGGCGTTGAACTTAGCGATGATTTTCAAATCCCCCTTTCTCTCCATCGCTTCTGCATATTCATCTGCTGCTTGCTCAAGCGCCTTGATGCCCTCAAATCGTTTTTGAGTTTTGGGGGTTTTTGTTAAAAAAACGAAAAGTGGTCAAAGTTACCCCGCCGGTCAAAGTAACCCCAGTTTACGGTACACTACTTGAAGATAATAACACAGTGGGTCTTCAGCCAAAACTTCAGTATGCTTGCTCGGGCTACCAGCATCAACAAGAAGCTTCTTCTTGTTACTCCATCCTCGCCTAGAGCAGCCTGACCTGTACCACCACTCTTTCTAATCCCAAACAAAAAAATAAAGCATTCAGTAGTCTACATAAACCTCCAGAGTCCTTTCATACTCAGTTTCATCACTCCACAACATATCAAGAGCCTCAACATTATCTACTCCCCCATTCAGCAACAAGCCAGAACTTGTAGTCCATCCCTCAACTAGTGATATCCAGTTTTGCCATCAACCACCTGCCACATACAATGCCTGTAATCTTACTGCCCTTCCAGATCAATGTCATCTGCATCATCCAATGACTCGTTCCTCCTTCCCCAGCCTCAAGAAGTTCCTTCCTCCCATCGCACCTAGGTCTTCAATTACCAAAGCCTACGCCCCGAGACTGCTGCATAACTTAAGTCTTGACCTCCATGGTACTATACATCATACTGGGCAGAGAAACCTGAAAATCAAAGTTAGGAGTTCTTCCCTCTCACCCAGATTAACTACCGGCACAACAGAGAGGCAGAAAAAGGTACAGCAGTACTATGGTAACTGTGAAGTCCACCCTCATCTTCCACAAAATCCTGAATGGATCCACAGCCAAAGCAGTAGTATCAAAACCACCAAGAAGACAGAACCACTTATTGTCAGTTCTGTTGACTGCTTTCCATTTAAAACCAGCATAGAGAATATGGAAAATATCATCAAGACCATGGATGCCATCAAGACTAATGGCATTATGAGGCTGAGTGAGGACCATCACCCAGCCACACACCTCCCAGAAATCAACTAAAATATCAGAAAAATAGAAACCAGAACTTCAGAACACATCAACAGGTAATCAAACTTTCATTGACAAGCTCTATGACTGAGGACTACACCAAGCCCAACATAAGCCTGCCAGTGGGGATCTTGACATCACAGACTTGGCTTACTTATTAGTGTACCACACTCCAATGCCAACACTGGATGATCTTATATTAATCTCCTCGACAAAAGCAACTACAGTCAAACCAAGAGAGCACCTGAAAGACTGCAAATTTGGATGCTGTCAGAACTGAGGCTGATGTGGAAAGTACCATAATGCAAGACCACATAACGACCATGATGGCAAAATACATCCAGACCAAAATGTATCCTACCAAGAACAGCAACCCTGGAGCCTGGATCAGCACAAAGCTGAAAAATGATTTTTGCTGCAGCTGATGCTGCTGTTGTAGGAGAGCTGCGTTACAACAATTACTTAATACAATTACTGCAAGCAACTATGACTTAACTACAAGTAAGTATATGGAATGGCTTTTCAAAATGTCAGTTTCCCTGTGCTAGGATTTACAATTTTCTGCAAGAATGAAATAAGAAGACAAAATATATTTCAAAAATGAGTCCACAATCTGAATAAATATCACCATAACTGCAATCACTGCCAGTAACAGCAGTCATTGTATGCAGCGGTCCCTGTAATTCATGTATGTGTGAACCGTATTGTGTATGTGTAGGTATTGTGTATGTGTGAACCATATTGTAGGCAAATGCCAATCTAGAATAACTAGCAGATATTTTGAAAATAGCAGGTCAAAAAAGCAGGATTGATTAAAGGCAGAAATTGAAAATTAGGACATAAAAGTAACTTTCTCAGTTTTTTGTAATTTTTAATGAAGAAATTAGTCAAGGGCCTAATCTGGAATATTGGGCAACAGGGTTGGCAATGATTAAATCAAAATGATTAAATCAGGTGATTAAATCACTTGATTTTTTTATAAAAAAATCATGATTTTTTTTATTTTTTCGATTTTTTTGATTTTTTCATATATTTAAATATATTGAGTGGCAGTCTTTAATTTATATTGAGGNCAAGATGAGGATATTAAAAATGTATGGATTCTAAAATACTTTAATTTTAATTTGGCACTGTGAGTTGCATGCAAATATGCAATTTTCCATATTTTTCACTGAAGAAATTGAAGAACATTAGAGATTGCCTGCCATTTTTGGAACCACAAGATTCTTGTTAGATTAATTTTCTCCGGTTTTTTAACATAAGTGCACAATCAGGCCAGCCACAAAATTCCAAATGAAAAGGTAACTTGCCACTTCATAGCAATAACATGTCATTCAAAAGTGGGAAATTCCCATCCTGGGCCACATACAGCATTCAAATTGTAAGGCAAGAAGCTTATACAGAGGCACAAATTTTACTTACTTCGGACCATTGGCATCCACTGCAACCGTGGACATTTCAACTATGTACGTTGACTGTTAAGACTAAAGGCTAATGCTGTGCTGACTTTGATACAATTAGGATCTCTACTTACTAACATAAAGAGGAAGATCAAAGAACTATCCAACTTTCAAGTCTAGAATGTAAGTTACTACATTAAAGTTTTAAAATCTCTGAAAAAATAATTTGTCAATGAGGTTAAAAGCAATTCCTCAGAACTCTAGACTCCAAAGAAGCTCCTTCAACTTTAGAAGTTGAAGGAGCTCTGGAGACTTGTCCAAGGTAGCCCCTCAACAGGATACAGCTTTGGATTCATGCAACTGTGGGCAAAAAACAAGAGATAAGACTGACACTGTAGAGAGCAGGCATGTTAAGAGACTGCTGCTGCTAGGCAGTACAATCAATGATAAATAATGTAGGAAATTTGTTTGAGCAATATATGCATACCTATTTCATCCCAGCTTAATACTACTGACATGCATGACATGAGATTGTGGGCTCTACTAAAGGTCCAGCCTGGGCAGCAACCCTGGATGTCTATCAATGTGAGACAGTGAGTGTGTTTATACTTCACAAAAACAAAACACTTGTGGGATTGTCTCTGAAGGATCAAGGTTTAAGAATGAATTTAAGGTGAACAGCAACAATCTGTACAATGAGCAGTTACATCCTATATATACATATAAGCTATACCAATGTATGGTATATGACTATATGCCTATATACACAAATATTGAGGCAATATAGGACACCACCTAGGGTGATACAGGACACCACTAGAAACACATTTACAGTAGAACTTAGGTTAACAAAGGTTCCAGTTAATGAAAAAAATCGATCAACAACAAAGAATTTTGATTACATTAACCTTGCTCAGCAAGAGAATATCACTCAACAGAAAATGAATGCATCATTGGTCATCACTAAATTGTCCATAGAATATCATGGATAGAATTACGCACTGTGCAACATAGAATTGAAAGTAATTAACCTGAATGCATTAAACAAGGTTATTTCACCAAAAAGATGATGGTTGTCACTAAAATACTCCTTTCTGTTTCAGGTACGGTATGTTCATACGAATTATACGATCTTTTTTTTGTTATAGTGAATTCACTTTACCCAATTAAAATGATGCAAAATTACAAGCCCAGCCCTGTAAGCTTACAGATACAGGGGAAATGCTATAGGCTGCACATTGTCATGTTACAAGTTTGTTGTAAATGCCCAATAGTATGTCCATGGATATGGTAATATCACACAAATATAATGGCAATGTATGGATATGGTAATATCATATCAGTAAAAGAAAGCACATATAAATCACAGAAAACATCTACATCATCTACAAAAGAAGAGGAGTACTCCAGAGAACTGTTGGTAGTGAATGAGTACCTTCTGCATGCTTCAAACATTTTAAAATCAAACTTTATTTCAAGTGTCTTGAATTAACCTGTTCCCAGGGGTAATTCAGGATGCTTTTATTTTGCAGTTCCACATAATACAAATATTATATGGAACTTTTTTGAGATGCCAGACAATAGTCCTCACAGACCTTTCAAATGAACTCAAACTCATTTATGAAATGTTTCATGGTAAGAAGTTATTAAGAGAAAATGCTTAAAATCATCCCTTATTACCCCATTTCACGGTACTATTACTATTCAATGTTACTACAGATAAGGACATCAGATCAAGGAGAATATGAGCTATTTTTTATTTCTTTGACAAGTATTTGGTCGACCAATCTTTTTAGTTGAATTCACTTTTGCCTCCATATCTTCATCTTTATGTGTTTTCTTCCCATGCCCTAGAACTGGACTTGGAAAGGAAAGTGATTGTACAGTTTTATGACAACCCTGGATAACAAGCCATATGACAACCCTGGATAACAAGCCGTATGACAACCCTGGATAACAAGCCGTATGACAACCCTGGGTAACATGCTGTATGACAACCCTGGATAACAAGCCGTATAACATCCCTGGATAACAAGCCATAAAACAACCGTGGATAAAAAGCCATGTAACAACCCTGGATAACAAGCCCTATAACAAGCCTGGATAACAAGCCATATAACAACCCTAGATAACAAGCCGTATAACAACCCTGGATAACAAGCCATAAAACAACCGTGGATAACAAGCTGTATGACAACCCTGGATAACAAGCTGTATGACAACCCTGGATAACAAGCCATACCTATTACAAAAGTGGATAACATGCCATATAACAACCAAAATTATGGGTCAATGCATATTTATATATATATTCATAGTTTCAATACCTACTGATCTGAGTAAACAGACAGGCAGTATAAGTCCATCTTTTCAACCTCTTGTCTAGTGATGGTGACTATGAATACAATTGACATTTATATGGTAATTCTTTCCATAGAAAAATGGTCATGCATGCTAGTGGTGATCTTGGTGTGTGTTAAGAGGAGTTGCTGATATAGTAAAGGTGTTTGGAGGGACTGGAATAAAGTTACCAAGGCGGGCTGGACAACAGAATGATGAGCGGCACTAGCAGCGGCGTTCACATGACACCACGTCAGGTATTGCAGATAACTCAGCTCCAGGTCTTCAGCTGACACTTGTGTTAACTGTCAAATGAAACTTGGTCAGGAAATCTTGTTATTAATTCTCACATGAGATACATTCAGCCAGGTTCAATAACATTCAATAGCTCAAAAAATTTTATTTGAGTGAATGAGAAGTATAGTATATAGAGAGAGTACAATAATCATGTACTCCTGAGCACATAAGGATTTTTTACAAAATTCAAGTCATTAGAAACAAATTGTTTACCAATTTTACTTTTTCATGAAGCACACTATTGAACATGGAAAAACCAAATTTATTTTCATTCAGAGTTTGAAGTTGTTAGTAATAACCTGTCCGACTTCATCATCATTAGCATCATTGGAGGGGCTGGGGACAGTGAAACGCGTGATGGGAGGTTCACAAGACACATCAGGATCAGAGACCATGGAGCTTTTGCCGCTGTTGTTACCAAGGTCGAGCTTGATGGCTGATATGTCAGGCAGGTCGGGCAAGTTGGGCGAAAATCCACGACCACGTTGACTCAGAACCGTTGAGCTGCTTATAGATATTCATATAATATAAATCCACGACCTCGTTGACTCAGATCCGTTGAGCTGCTTTAAGGTATCCATATAAAAACATAAAATCCACGACCTCGTTGGCTCAGAACCGTTGAGCTGCTTATAGATATTCATATAATATAAATCCACGACCTCGTTGACTCAGAACCGTTGAGCTGCTTTCAGACATTCATATAACAAACCTAAAATAATTTGATGTTAATAAATAATTGATCCAGTCTCTTGCTTCAAAAAGTTACTCCAGCTTTAGAGATCAGAGTCATTATGAGTATTGAGATTATTATGTTATTAGAGATTAGATTTAGATGTTATTAGAGATGATTAGATGTTATTAGAGATTAGAGTTATTGAGATTATGTTATTAGATAAGAATAATTACCATAAAAGGGGGTTACTTTGACTCCCGGGGTTAGTTTGACCACTTTTAATTTTTTTAACAAAAACCCCCAAAACTCAAAAACTATTTGACATAGAAAAATTTTGTCAATGGGCATTAAAGGCCTAATACTGAGGCTATGTAACACAATAGAGAGATTAAAAAAGTTTGCATATCTAATAGGTTAAAAAATGAAAACTGTGACCCATGAAAAAGAGCTATTATTTAAAGCCTGTCATAGAATCCCCTCCAATTTTTTTTTTGAAAGGCAAGAGCCAGAAATTTATGGTGAGTGAACCTAGAGTATAGACCTGTATTTTGCGTGTTTCAATTTAAGTTTAATTTACCTAGTAAAAAAATTGCATCATTTAAAAAAAATGGTCAAAGTAACCCCCTTTTACGTAGTATAGGTTGTCAGAATTTTGTTAACAATTATTTTTTTGTTAACGAGGTTAACGACAATTTTTATTTCATTAACGTTTCAAATATTCCAATCATTTATTATCAAGTTAAAAATGCATTGAGTTACGAAATTTGGGCTGAAAATCGTCAATAAAAGAAATTCTCTGGTCTTTAATGAAACCTGCCTAAAACATAAGCATAAGAGCATATTATGTACCTGAAATGTGGAGTGTTGGCAGTTTGAAGGGTGGTGTTGAGAATTGTGGCATTCACAGCAGTCGAGTGTAGCTTGCTAGCTGCTCTGCTGCACAGTTTACACTATAAATAAGACAGTAAATAACAGTAGTTTACTTGTTTTACTAGGTAAATACATTTGAACGAAAGGATGATAAATAATAAGCATGTTCACAATTACACTCAAAAATTCCTGTAATTGAAAATTACACTAATAAATCAAATATTGCTATTCTTGCACTATGATTGTAAGTTTTTATACCAGGAATTAACAAGCTGCATACAATAAATAACTGAAAAATGACATCAGAATTTCAAACATGAAAAATTTAATAACTGCAAAATGCATAACTGGCACATGTATCCATAGAAACCGAGTTTGAGTTGGCACCTATAGGTAGGTACATCATTGCTGAGCTGCTGCAGTGGCAAATAAGTTAATTCAAAGATTGAATTTGAGTATCATTATTGGTACAAGAATCACAAAATTGTTTAGGAGGAACTGTTGGTTGCAACAGAATTCGGAAAAATGAGGTCAACCAGAGAAAGTTGTGATGAGCATTTTGACATTTTTATAAAAATATTCAAAGCTTTAGTTCATTTCCCAAAAACTCTTCTTTCAATACCTACCCAACAGATACAAAAAAAATAATGTTGGAATGTTTCATGCAAACAATCTACCATGTCTAAGTAAAGTTGCACAAATGAAATGAACCTACTTCAGTGATAATATATTATATCAACCCCAGTATTATGAGTGCATGCTTTCATTACCTGGAAGATGAGTAAATTCTACTGGAAGCCTTGGCCTTACTCGGAGTAACATTTTCTTTTCTATTCACAGGACACTTGTTGATATTATACTTATATTTACAGGGTGATGCTGTTTTAGACGACAGCTTTTTAGAATCTATAGCTTTTACATCACCAGACAAATTTGCACTGCTTTTTGAAAAAGATGAACCTCCACTGGTATTGCTGGCTGACAATATTTTACTAACACTTGGTTTACTCAGTGCCAAGGAGCTACCAAATGTATGGGTTTTTATTAAAGTTCTTGCAGTATTAGTAGAGATATGTTTTTTGTTCCCAATTGATTTTATTTTGGGCTTTGTTCCAGAGCCTGCATTAGTTGAGTTATTGTAGTTGCCCAGCAGGGTGTCCTGGATAAGTTCATTTGACGCACTGGAATTCTTCTGGCTCGATGCTTCACAAGATGAACGGTTGTTGACTGCAGCTCTAGCAGCAGCGTCCCTGAAGCGAGACTTCACGACACGAACTTTGCTGCTTCTCTGCAGCATGGCCGTCCTGGGACAATGCAACATCAGTGAGTTTAATGCATACAAACAACAATATCAGCATCATTGGCTGCTATGGAACAATGCAACATCAGTGAGTTTAAAGCATACAAACAACAATATCAGCATCGTTGGCTGCTATGGAACAATGCAACATCACTGAGTTTAATGCATACAAACAACAATATCAGCATCGTTGGCTGCTATGGAACAATGCAACATCAGTGAGTTTAAAGCATACAAACAACAATATCAGCATCGTTGGCTGCTATGGAACAATGCAACATCACTGAGTTTAATGCATACAAACAACAATATCAGCATCGTTGCTATGGAACAGTGCAACATCACTGAGTTTAATGCATACATACAACAATATCAGCATCATTGGCTGCTATCGAACAGTACATCATCACTAGGTTTAAGCCATGCAGATAGCAATGGCAGTCTAATTATACTTATAAATCATTTCACTAGAGTCAAACAAATTACGAGTTGTGCAGTTAGGCAAAAGTGCAGATATATATTGAATTAATTCACTACAGATATCACAATTCTATCAGAAACAATATACCATAAATATTCTAAGGGTGCAAAGCTATAAATATGATGAAATCTTAATGATGGAAAGCAAGTAAATAACTAGATTGACAATGATAATGAGGGTTGACCAATTACAAAACTTATTTGTGTTGTGCACGTTGCAGATNCCTTCAGCTGCAGTCATGCAGTTGACTCTAGACTCCGGCACTCATTCTAGCACGCAGTGTCGTTATATTCCTTCTCCGAAAGTGCTGCACATACTGTGCTTCCATCCTGTAACTTCTATCAAGTGTATCCGTAAACCTATCGTTAATACGCTACGCTTACATAAACTGTGTCATCATCCTTCCCTGTTCCATTGTTATTACCTTGTATGCCATGTATTCGGAACCGTGACAGTATATGGATTCTGTCTCTTATACACATCTAGATGTGTATAAGAGACAGCCATTGGCATCCACTGCAACCGTGGACATTTCAACTATGTACGTTGACTGTTAAGACTAAAGGCTAATGCTGTGCTGACTTTGATACAATTAGGATCTCTACTTACTAACATAAAGAGGAAGATCAAAGAACTATCCTATTTTCAAGTCTAGAGTGTAAGTTACTACATTAAGGTTTTAAAAACTCTGAAAAAATAATTTGTCAGCGAAGTTAAAAGCAATTCCTCAGAACTCTAGAGTCCAAATTTAGTTAATTAGTTCTCTTCTTCTTTTTACAAGTTGAAGGAGCTCTGGAGACTTGTCCAAGGTAGCCCCTCGACAGGATACAGCTTTGGATTCATGCAACTGTGGGCAAAAAGCCAGAGATAAGACTGACACTGTAGAGAGCAGGCATGTTAAGAGACTGCTGCTGCTAGAAAGTACAATCAATGATAAATAATGTAGGAAATTTGTTTGAGCAATATACCTATGCATATTTCATCCCAGCTTAATACTACTGACATGCATGACATGAGATTGTGGGCTCTACTAAAGGTCCAGCCTGGGCAGCAACCCTGGATGTCTATCAATGTGAGACAGTGAGTGTGTTTATACTTCACAAAAACAAAACACTTGTGGGCTTGTCTCTAAAGGATCAAGGTTTAAGAATGAATTTAAGGTGAACAGCAACAATCTGGACAAAGAGCAGTCACATCCTATATATACCTATAAGCTATACAGTAATGCCAATATACACAAATATTGAGGCAATATAGGACACCACCTAGGGTAATACAGGACACCCCTAAAAACACATTTACAGTACCGTAAAATGGGGTAACTTTGACCACTTTTTTTTCAAAACCATGCCATTTTTTTACTAGATAAGTTAAACTTAAATTGAAACATGCAAAATACAGGTCTATACTCTAGCTTTACTCACCATAAATTGCTGGCTCCTGCCTCTCATAGTTTTAATGTAATTTCAAAAAAAGTGATGGTCTTTGTTACCCCAGCTCTTGGGGTTTCTTTGACCGGGTGGTAAAATCAATTTCATTTTTTGGTAAAATAACTCCAAATAACTCCAGGTTGTGGTGAATGATCTCTTCTAGTTACATATGCTATAGACAGATTTTAGGAAAGTGTCATAGTTTGCAAATGGGGGGCGCCACCCCCCAATGGGCAAAATGTGACCACCTAATGGCAGCCATGATCGGGTAACATTGACCGGTTTGGAAATTAAGTTAAAATTACCATATATAAGACTCTGTAGAGTCTGAAACATAAAGAAAAAAACATTAATAGGTGTATCAAACATAAAATATGTTATATAGGTACCTATGGTCATTTTAACTTAATTTCCAAGCTGGTCAATGTTACCCCGTCATGGCTGCCATCAGGTGGTCAAAGTTCCCCCATTGGGGGGCGGCGCTCCTCATTTGCAAACCATGACACTTTCCTAAAATTTGTCTTTTGCATATGTAACTAGAAGAGTTCTACTACAATGCATCAAAACCTGGAGTTATTTTACCAAAAATTATTATTTACAAAAATAAAAAAATTGGAGGGGATACTCAGACAGGCTTTAAATAATAGCTCTTTTTCCTGGGTCACATTATTAATTTTTTAACCTATTAGATATGCAAACTTTTTAAATCTTTCTATTGTGTTACGTAGCCCCAGTATTAGGCCTTTGATGGCCATTGACAAATTTTTCTATGTCAAATCATTTTTGAGTTTTGGGGGTTTTTGTTAAAAAACAAAAAGTGGTCAAAGTTACCCCGCCGGTCAAAGTAACCCCATTTCACAGTAGGTAGAACTTTGGTTCACAAAGGCTCCAGTTATTGAAAAAATTTGATCAACAACAAAGTATTTTGATTACATTAACCTTGCTCAGAAAAGCAAGAAAGAAAGAATATCAATATCAGAAGAATATCACTCAACAGAAAATTAATGCATCATTGGTCATCACTAAATTATCCATAGAATGTCATAGATAGAATTGCACACTGGGCAACATAGAATTAAAAGTAATTAATCTGGATGTATTAAACAAGGTTATTTCTCCAAAAAAATTATGGTTGTCACTAAAATACTCCTCTCTGTTTCAGGTATGTTCATACAAATTGTACGCCCCAAACGTGCATCCCACATTTAGTAGAAATGTTGTAGCAGCTAAACTAATCAAAATATTGCAAAGCTAAAAATAGTGGCATAAACTTCAACATTTTTACTATCTATTATGTATAAAGCAAGTTAAGAAATCATACATTTACTATCTCTAAAAAATTGCTGAAGAGCACCTCTACTAAAGTCTGGAGCAAAAAAAAAATATTCGCCATATTAAAAAATTTTACTTACATAAAAGTTGCACACAGGTGTTGACTTGAAAACGTGGTTGACAAAATTTGCCAACCTCATTAAAAAAATTGGCAGCCATTTCCGAACGACAGGGTAATAAGGGACACCCCCCAGGGTAATAAGGGACACCCCCCAGAGTAATAAGAGAAACCCCTAAAAATGCATTTACAATTTAACCTCAGTTAGCAAAGGCTCCAGTTAACAAAAATATTGATTAACAACAAAGAATTTTGATCACATTTACCTCGCTCAACAAAAAAATTTCACTCGTCAAAAAATTAATGCATTATTGGTCATTACAAAATTGTGCACAGAATGTTGTTGCAGGGGGAGCTATGTAGCTTTCTAGCCAAACCCTTTGGCTTTCATGCTCGTTTATTTAATGTCTGTGCTGTGTTTTCTCATTATGTAACTGTTAATGTAATTTTTCTTTTTCTGTTTTTCTCTCTAGTCCAGACAAGGATATAAAATGTTTAATGTAAAGTAAATTCCAAAGCCAAGCATAATCCTAATGCAAAATCCCAATGAATAACTGCACCAGTATGGGAACCTAAGCTAACTCACCACTTGAGAGGAAGTGAGTGATTGTTTATTGCATATATTCATTTTATTGCTTAATTGATGTTATATTACAAATGGTTGTTTATATTTTTGTGGTTTCACTTTGTTCTCTGATTTTCTATTGATTGTGTTCAGTGTGTTTTAATTCTGCAAGCTATATATTTTGATGTTCATTAATTCTTCATTAAGCTGTTTGCTGCAATATAAGTTTGCTTGATTACTTTTTCTGCAGCCATAAGCCACACAGTTGCTCTAAGAAGTCATTATTAAGGTTCTTGATTATTACTGTTTTTCTGCTTGTTAATTAATGCTTGTTCATATTTAATCCAATTCTTTATTTTATAGTCCTAGGGCTGTGATGCATAAAATTAATAAGTTTTACTTTCTTTTATGGCAGATCACATATGCATATTGTCCATGCTCCTAGGCATGTTAGTTCCATGCTCCTATGTACGTTAGTCCATGCTCCTACGCTCCATGTTTTCTATTCTCCTTAGTTCCTTAACTCCTATGCACGTTAGTTCCATGCTCCTATACTAGGCCATTCTTCACTCAGTTATGCACCACTCTTATTCATTTCGTAACCAAGAGCCATTTAATTGAACTGTAATCTAAATTCCATTTCATTTGTCAGTAATAGAAGATCAATTTTAGTCTCATCATTATTCACTTCCCAAGTAGATTGTTGCCAACCTATCAAGTAGAAGTAGGTGACGTGTTTGCCTCACCCGCGGGAGTTTGCCTCACCCTCACCTAAACTATGTTTTATTGCCCCAAAATATATGATGTTGTTTCTAAAACATTCATTTCCGTTTCAGGTGTGTTTTTTACAATCTTTTTTTATAGGGTAGTGAATTCACTTAACCCAATAAAAATGGTGTGATATTACAAGCCGTCCTGTAAACTTACAGATACAGAAGAAATGCTATACGGCTGCTGATATGAAGCTTGCAGTGGACAAGGTTGTTGTAAATACTCAATGGCATGTTTATGGATATGGTAATATCATATCAATAATGGTACAGTAATGAATGAATATGGTGATATATCAATAAAGGATAAACAAGTAAAAAACACAGAAATGTCCTTTATTCTACATCTACATCATCTACAAAGGAAGAGGAGGACTTCAAAGTACTGTTAGTAATGGATGAGTACACTCCGCATGCTTCAAACATTTCAAAATTGAATTTTATTTCAAGTGTCCCTGATTACCCTGTTCCCAGGGGTAATTCGGGGACGGTTTTATTTTGCGTCTGGCACCTTACGAATAGCATATGGAATTTTTTTGAAGATGTCATTCGATAGCCCTCGCAAAGAGCTATAAAATGAGCCTAAACCTGTTTATGAAATGTTTCATAGTAAGAAGTTATTAACAAAAAACGCTCAAAACCGACCCTTATTACTCCGTTTGATGGTACCCACTCACAACCCACTTCATCCTCTCGAGACATGTCAAAATCTGAAACAAGTTTGAACTTGCCATCTACACTTGGACAAGAGCCAAGATCTTTATCATTAGAGAAAACTGCATCATAACTAGGAGATAGCACTAATACATTGAGAGCTAAGTAACTCAAGTTTGCACAGTAGCTGTAAGAGATGAATTCAGAATGATACTATTCATTGAGGTGGATGCAAGAGTTACACCAAAATGCTTTTGAATGGTATTGTTTATCAAAGAACTTGTCTTGGAAAAAGTTTCCTTGCACAACAGAAGAGAAAATAAGTCTGTCAGGCAAACTACAAAGTGCCCCATAGAAACTTACTTATTTGAAAGGTCAATAAAAACAAAAGTACTTCAATGACTGTTTACCATTTTTTTATTTAAGAATACAATTTTCCATTTTTTTTCATACAGTCTTGAAAATGACATTTGATAAATGGCAACCCTCATTGCGCATACATTGATGAAGTCGGTTTTTTCAAATTTGTGTCCACTCTTTGCAGTATATCAATTGGTATGTTGGCAATAGCGTTACGAATGTTGTTCTTGAGGTGTGCTATGGTCCATGGTCAATCAACATAAACCAGAGATTTCAAATAACCCCATAAAAATAAATTGCATGGAGTGAAATCTGGAGAGCGTGGCGGCCATTGGCGATCACCGCTGAGAGAGATGAGGCGGACGGGGAAATGTTGTCGCAACAAATTCATTGAGTCTAATGCTGTGGGTGTGTGCTGTGGCTCCATCTTGCTGAAACCACATGTTCCTAACGTTAATTTTTTCGAGTCTAGGAAGAAAAAATTCCTCAATCATGTTCCTGTAATGAGCTCCATTAACGGTAACTGTGTGTTCGTTTTCTTTAAAAAAAATAAGGACCAATTATTCCCCTTACCAACATCGCACACCCAACCGTAACTCTCTCACAGTTAAGTGGCTACTGGTGAAGCTCACATGGATTTACACCACACCAATAACGAAAGTTTTGCTTGTTGACTCAGCCAGAAATGTAGAAGTGAGCCTCACCACTGAAAAAAACAGCTGCATACAGCCTGACGCAAAAGGTTAGCCCCACCCATTTAAAACATCATAACACATCGAGTTTTGCCAGTTTTAACGTGCAAATGGTAGCAAACAATTTGTCTTGCGCTCTGCAATCTATAGCAGGTAAAATTTGGTGAAAAAGTTAATTACTGGCGGAAAATCAAGCGGTCTGTGTTTTTGCACCGACGCAAAAGGTTAGCCCCACTTTGCAAGTTTGGCGCTCTTGTGGACAGGACGCAGCGTAGACTCGCTGCAAAGGGTTACCTCCGTAGATTGTCTCAGGGCATGAAAAAGCGGTGCTTGGATGTCTACAAAGCCAACGGGGAGCATATCGGTAAATAACCTTTAGTTTTGCAGCTGACATATGTTTTGTTTTGCCTAAAATGTCAAAGTGTGCAAAGTGGGGCTAACCTTTTGCGTCGGTGTAAAAACATGTGTTTTTCATTTTCTCCGTTACTAATTACATTTTCACTAGTCTATTGTATTTTGATTACTGAGACCAAGACGATTTGTTTGCCACTACTTGCACAATAAAACTCGCAAAACTCGATGTGTT